AGGTGATTTCTGGCAGGGGAGGTAAGCCAATGCCTTCAACTCTTAAGATGATTGTTTGGTAGGTACTTGTTAGAGCTAGGCAGTCTGTTTGACTGCTTTAATATCTTATTTTGATGTTAACTGGTCTAGCTGGATCTTCCCTTACAGCATCGTTGAATAGGCTTTTCAAGCATTCAGTTGATACTGAAAACAGTATCTTGGTGTTCTTTTGTTGTGTTAGCATTTAGAGTTCCTCTCAGTTTTAGAATTATCTATACATTTATATATCATGTTGTCTGTCTGTATCTTTTTCTCTATTGAAAAGCAAATTCAATACAAAGTCCTGTTCCACTCAGTTCCATACATCCTCCCAGCTTATTATTTTACTTTTAATAATTCTTCTTTTGGTTTCAGGGTTTCATTTAGATTTCGGATCACTTGTCTATGACTTCTTTGAAAACTTGAAATAGTTTTTTAAAGTAAAATATAACGCTTTGATGAAATTCAGATAGGATTGTTATTTTAGAATGTTTATTTTTTAAAAGTCTATCTGATCTGTATTATAAGACTTTTCACAATAGCACTAACAAATAATTAATAAGCAATCGATTAAAAGTAGCACTGCTTTTTCACTCTGCCACAAAGTTCCTGAAGTAATTCTGAAGCTGGAGCCTATAGCTATAGGATGCAGCCAGATGCCTCTGGGAGGTCTTGATCCACGTTGATACTAATTTTCAGTGGCAGACAGAAATTGCTGAAGAATTCTGGTCAGTGATCGTATCCTCATCTACTTTTACTGCAAGATAAGCAGGCTACTTAAGAAATGCTGGACTCCAGCCACCTCCCTGTGATTCCCATCCAGCCGAACAGAGAGCGGCTCGAGGGAGGCTTCTGGCCAGGAGCCACGGTAGCCCAATGCATTTCCAAGTGGAGGAAGATACAAATGGCTGAGACACAAGACTGCGTATTCCCACTTGCTTGCAGACCATGTGCAACTGAGTTTTCTTATTGGTATAATTAAGTGGGTCTAATGGAGACACACTGAGCATGAGCTCAGGGCTGGCTCAGCCAAAATGCAGGCCTTCGGTGCCCACACATGAGGACAGTTCTTCACTTGGGCTTGTACTGCTTTCTCCCTGTAGCATTTGAAAATGCACCCAAGTGCAATTCTCAGAAGGCAGGAAACCTTTAAGCGCCACAACTGATGAACCCATCGGTGAATAAGGGAATAAATAGAAAAAGGAAGTGAGGAGTAATGCTCTTTGGGATGAGATGTACCATTTTGTTATCTTTGGCACCTCACATGAGCCAAGGGCTTATGGGCACTGTTATAGCTGCAAGAGCAATTGAAAAAGAGGGAACGTGTGTACATTTGTGGGTTTATTATTTATAAATTTGTATTTATTTATTTTCCTCAACCTGAGCAATGTAAGTAATTTAAACGCAGCACGTGTGGTGACGGTGGGAAATAATTATTTCAGAAAGCTTGCAAATGCGCCCTTATAGACCAAATTGATTTTCTTTTTTTGAAATAAAGCAAAATAAAAGAGTTGGTAAGTTGCCACCTTCATAGGATGCATCACAGAGTAAGAGTAAAGAAAACAAATTTATGATGATGTCTCCAGTAAGGAGACAGTTGTCTCCTGGAAGGAGAGAAAAGACATGAAAAAAGCTGTATTTGGGTGCCTTTTGGTGAACAATTCTCCTTCAGAGTTGCTGTTATTTTAATAGAGATTTCTTTTTTTGTATCTATGTTGCTGCTTTGTCATATTTTGAAAGTGGGAATGCATGTCCCAAATTTTACTGGTTTCTTTATAAAAAATCTGAAGCTAAAACTGCTTCAGTGAATGATTTTAATGATACATTAAGAAAAAAGAAGCATGTGACATACACTGAATCTTTTGAGCAATCTAAACTGAGATCTAGCTGCCGGGTTCATGAATGTCAGTCTGTGCTGGTGAATCTGGAGGAGATGGACTGAGGTGACTGTTAAGCTGGCCCCTCTTTCAATCCAGAGGATCCTCCAACCAGACAGATCTAGAAACAATTTTTGGAGTATGAGGAGAACAACAGGATGGCAATAGCTCAAACTTCCAATATGTCTTCAGCAGCTGGTTCATTTAAAGCACTTGATATTTGAGCTATAGGGTTTTCTGGGTTTAGTATCTATTAACAACAAAAAAAGAAATCAATGTAAAAGTAGCTCTTGAACACAAACAAGTTTAGGATTAAGGGAAAAAAATGAACCACTTCCAGTAAATGACCATGCACAACATAGGAAGCTGAAGAAGGTTGTGAAGAGTACAGTGAGAGAGGAGGAAAGTGAATGTGCAGATATTCCTCAACTTCAGTAGCAGTCAGCCTTCTGCTCTAGCAAGGCTGTGCTGACCATGGATTTTGGCTATGAATCCATTTGCTCCTCCCCTTCTTTCCACTATGTAACTCTCTGTAGAGAGCTAATTTTTTGGATTTTATGTGGATATGTGGATTTTTCTCCACTTGAAGGAATGTCACTGAGTTGATTACATGAGGTACAGTAGAGGAACAAACCCATGTATTTTGAATGAAATTTAGTTCTTATATTGCAGAATAACAGCCTATGACTTACAAACAATTTAAAACGGCAGTGTAGGCTTTTCAGATATTTAGCATTCCAACCACCCCCTTTAAAGCATGCATAATGTTTGGATATGAAATTTGGATTAAGAAGTGTTGGATTGCGCCTATCAAAGCATGTAAAAAGATTAGATCCATTTGAGCATCTAGCCTGAAGTGCTTTTTTTGCTGTTGATGAATCAGAACAGTGCTTGTTTTTCTCTATCTCTGCAAAGGCATTCCAACAGTTTGTGTTGCTTTTAGGGTGCTGTACCACTGATCCTGGCTGGAGGCAGCTGAAGTGGTGATGTGGATAACGTGGTGCAGATGTTTTTCTGTTTCTTTTATCTAATTTTTTCTGCCTTCTGCATTTGATTCAGTGCTATGGTTGTTGCCAGTCTGAGAGCGGATAGCTTGTGGTGCGACTGAATTCTTATTCATTCATCACTTCATGTTTAGCTTGTCAGAGATAAAAAATGTTACTATGAGACAGTGTTTTATTGCATTTTTGATCAAACTGCTTTGACATTTATTTTTGATGGATGATGATACCCAAATAATCACAGTGCAGGCTGTTAATTTCAGTCCCTTTTGAAATGCTGCCTGGTTGTAGGCAATCTGATACTTTGATAGCATGTTTATGTTCCCTCTCCTCCAGCTGCTCAGGCATGAAACCATCTAAGCATTGCCCTGAGCTGGCAGAGGCAGTGGTTACCGGTAATGGAGAGCTTGGGCTGAGGTGGTCAAACGCAGAGCTCATCTCTCCTAATTCCCAGGAGCTGTGTGGCTGCGGCGCAGAGCAGGAGGGACCTGCTGAGAGCGGGGAGGGAGGCATGGCTGAGGCAACTCACCCTCTCATGCTTGCCCATGTAAGAGTTATTTTGAAGAGTTTAAGCTCAGCTGTATTGCCACCAATCTTTTGAATCTTTTTATTCATGCAAAAACACCTGCTGCCAATTGGAGTTTATATTCTGTTAAGACATGTTCCTGCTCTGAGAGGCTGGGCCAGAGCAGCTCCGTGCGCTCCTGCTGCACTTGGTCAAAGCTGGGAGCTGCTTTAATTCGGGAGCCCAGCTTACCCAAGCAGGGGGCTGGAAAGCAAGCTGGCTGCTTGTGACTTTGCATCTTCAGGAATGGAACCCAAGGCTATTCCCAGACGTTCTTGATCAACATTTGTGCCTCTAATTAGATAACGGGTCACACCTACCTCCTCCCGCATCTGCTGGATGGTGCCACAGGTGTTATGGATGCTGGAGCTGGATCCTTCTTATTTGCCGAGGGCCACATTTTTGGTTTTCTTTTTGGCTGATTGCAATATGAAGCGATGAGCTGTCCTGTGGCATGTTCTGCAGCCCTGCACTCATGATCCAAAGTTAATACCACTGTCTGCTCAGGAAAATGCCTGGAATAGAAGCATATAAAAAATAAAAAGGTGAAGCTTACTGAAATATGCAAATCATTTGCTAGGCTTCAGTTTCTGAAACTAATTCCCAGAACTTCTGTATTAATTCTTTCAGAAATTAATAAAAGCATTTGTGGGATTATTCTGAGCTCAGAAAGCAGTAAGTGTCAAGCTTTTAACAGAGGAGATGTGAAAACCTGGGATAGTTGTAGGCCATCTTGAATAGTCATATTTTTTTGCTGTTAGAAGGTTTTCTCACCCTAGACTGTGGGTTTTTCCCCCATGTATTAGCCATTAACAGCACTTTAAAAGTACTTTCTGGTTGTGTTTGCGTTTTTGTTTTTTGTTGTGTGTTTTTTTTTTTTTTTTTTTTTTTTAATGAACACTTTAACAGATGAGAAACCCAGTTTTTGTATCCTTTTAAGTGACTTTTTTTTTTTTTTTTTTTTTGAGAAAGTAAGTTTCCAGCACTGCTTCAGAAGTCCAAAGGAAATAATAGCTTTTGAGACGCAGATGTGGAGGATATTGTAAACTCTGGTGTTTGTGTTGTTTGTTTTTGGAGTCTGTCACCTTTAGTAACTTAAAATCACTTGACTATTTTTTGAATTTGAAGTTGCCTGAATGCTTGTCGCAAGCTATTACGTTTTGGTTGTTTTTTTCCAAACCTCAGGTGCAAATAAAACTCAAGTCGGTGAGTGCCAAGTGTTGTAGGGGAGAACGGAGGGGAAGTGACGCTCTGCCGCGGTAACTTCTCCCTACGTTCCAGCAAGAGTTGAGGGGCATCTGTCCCGACGCCCGCCCGCTTGCTGCTTCGGCTTCCGCGCGTGTAGCTGCTCCCTGAGCGCAGGGGAGAGAGGCGGGAACCCACCCCGCGCGCGCTGCTGCACAGGCGGGTGGGGCCGGGGCTGTCCCGCGTGGGGGGGCCGGGGCTGTCCCTCGTGGGCGGTCGGCCGGGCGGTCGGTCTCCGCCTCCCGGGGCGGGGCGGGCGCGGGGCGGGGCGGTGGCGGCGGGAGAGCGCAGCGGGGGCCGCCGCGGCCGCAGCATCGCGGCGCGGTGGCAGGGATGGAGCCGTGGAAGCAGTGCGGGCAGTGGCTGATCAGCTGCAAGGTGCTGCCGCCCAACCACCGGGTCACCTGGGACACGGCCCAGGTCTTCGACCTGGCGCAAACGCTGCGCGACGGCGTCCTGCTCTGCCAGCTCCTCAACAACCTGCGCGGCCACTCCATCAACCTCAAGGAGATCAACCTGCGCCCGCAGATGTCCCAGGTGCGACAGCGGAGCCGCCGCGCCGCGCTGGGGGGGGGGGCGCTCCGCGGGCTTTGTCTGCGGCGCGGAGTGGGGGGAAGCGCCCGCGGCTGCCGGTCGGCCGTCTCAAGCGCGGAGGCTCCGCGCCCGGGGGAGGGCAGGGCGGGATGCGCCGCGCTCCCCGCTCCGCTCCTGCGGGGCGCTGAGCTTGAGCCGCGGCCGCGCTCCTGCCCTGCGCGGCGCGTCCCGGGCGGTGGGAGAGGCCGCGGCTGCAGCGCCGGGCCGGCGGCTCCCAAACCCCCCGTGGGGGCTCGGTGCCGGCGGCGGGGCGGGAGCCTGCCCGAGCCCCCGCCGCGCCCCTCCCCGTCCCATCGGGGCGGCTGGCCTGGGGAGAAGTTCCCTGCAGCAGCCCCGCAGCCAGCAATTTAACATTTTTGTGTACGTTTATACTTAATATGAGCGGTTTACGATACAAACTGACTTATCGCTTCTAGTTTTCTCTGGATTTACCGAGCCGCGGGGGCCGGGAGCTGGGGGAGCGAGGCCCGGCAGGGGCGGGGGGCTGGGGGGCCTGTGGGGAAGGGGGCGAGCGAAGCCGCGGCAGCGCTTGCCAGCTGGCCCTCGCATCGTTCTGCGAAATTGAATGCTAAAGCGTGGTTAGTGAGGAAAAGTCGTGTTCTTGACTTGGTAGCTGGTTGCTTGTGCTTTAGCGTTCTTTTTTCTTCAGACCCTTTTATAATTAGCTGTTTAAATTAATATTTTGGTTAAGTAGTAACGAAGTGTAATTGCAAATTCATCCCCCTTTAAAGGCATTTTTTTTTAGTTGGGAGTAATGTTTTGTTCCTGTGCCTCATAAAGCTCATTTCAGATATCGAGATAAGATTATATTAATAATTCAATGAGCAGAGGTTCTCTATATACACAACTTCCTGTCACTGCCTCGCACACACCTATGCCTCCGCAGACGGTGGCAACCAAGCAGATGTCTGAAAGGAAACCAAACTTCTGAGCCTTTGCTGTGTTTTCAAACATTGAGAAATGGCTCCATTGTAACATTTCAGTGTTACAATTCTGTTTTATAGGAATGAAAATTGCCATTCGTGTTTAGGACACTGGCCAAAAGCTGTAGTAGTGAATTACGCTTTTGGGAGGAACAGTCTTTGTCCTCGAAACCAGTTATCATCTTTCTTTTTAATTCCCTTTTTTAGCAGCTGTGTTTTACTACCAAGGGGACATTTTCTGGAAGCCCACAGTGCAAAAAGGGAATAAAGTGTCAGGGATTTTCAGCTAGTCAGAATAAAAACTTCCAGATCGCTGTGTGAGATGTGGGTGGTGTAGAGGCTGTCCCGGTGTGCTTGGGAACTCAAGTGCCTGCCCGAATTGCGTTTACAGAGGCAACACTTCACCCGAGGGATGGGGAGGTGCAGCGAGTGGGGTCCCCTGAGCTGAGGAGATCTAGAGGAGTTCTCACTCTGCCCTCTCCCCTCTCCAAACTCTGCGAGGGCTTCGAGACTTGCTAAACTGTACCGGAGCCCCAGTTTATGTTTTCATTATAGTTAGATTGATTGCTTCCTAACTGACCTTTTTTCAGTTTAGCTTGTAGAACTATAAATACTTGGTGTTGGAAATGGTTTCTCGCCCTGCTTAGAATGGATAAAAAGTATGGAAACAGATTTTCATTTTTTTTAATGGGCTGGAAAGGTATCTTCATGATACTACACAGTATTTTCTGGATAGCAAACTCATTGAATCAGCTTCAATTAGAGATTAATGTTGCTTATCTGGACCGATATTACCTAATTTTATTTTTGATGAATTAAACCTGTGGTGGTCTCCTTCTGTCTACTAAAAATAAGTATAAAAATGCACTGCTGTCTTCTTTCTTAAAGCAGGTTTGGGAGTCAAGATTAATATTTATTTCTCTTAGTGAATTTAAACTATGGATTATAATTGTACATCTTGGATTATTTATAATGCATATTTTGAACTTGAACTTTATATATGTATAGTGTAGCTACTGAAATTGTTTCACAGCTATGACAATTGCCTCCTTGTCTGTATGTGTGCTGTATGCCTGAGGAACCTGCAGGGCCTGGCGCTGCAGGCTGATCTCCAATGGGGGCATCTCTGCCCTACCCTGATTTCACCCTTGAAATAGGGGGAACTGTTGCTGTATCAGAAACTATAATGGATATCTCTACGCAGCATTAAGCATACTGGGAATGTTACCTTTGCTTTCTGTGAGATTGAGATTTGGCTAACTTAGTGAGCTTCTGTGGGATTTAAGGAAAAGCTTCTTGGACGGGAGATACTTTCTGCTGGAAAGGATCACTTGGTGAAAATTTCAGAATTTGTTATTAGAAATGTAGTAAGTTGAAATTCTGCAAGTCGCTTGTAGTTGCTAAGACTGTAAAGAGCACAGCAATAAGTTGTGGTGGAGTCTCAGAGGCTTGAAAGTTATTAATTTGGTGAGATCTTCTTGGAGTTGAGCCCTAAATAATGACTTCTGTTAGAATAATACTTGTCAGTAAACTAATACATTTGCTGCGTCATAGGATCCTGGGGTCCTGTCGAAACACTAGCAAACTCTCCTGTTCCTTGTGGGGTAGTGATTTATAGACATTGGAGTCATAGGGTGCCAGAGCAGAGATGGCATTAGGGATGGAAATCGTCTTGGCCGCTGACTGCACAGTCAGCCTGAGCATGCTGTGCTGTGTCTGTACTGCTTAGCTGATCTGTTTGAACCTCATGTGGTCCTTATCTGTCAACTTCTGGAACCGAGCTGTAGCTCCCGTACTCCCTGATCTGATTTTGTTTTCTGCCGCAAAGTCTTAGAATGGCTCAGGAGATCCTTACTGTACAGATTTTGAGCAATAAAAGCAGGGAATGGGAGGGGTGGATGAAGGCTTCACAAACGGGCCTCATGGAAGGCAGACTGTGTGATTTTTAGCCTTGTCTTGTACTGCTGTTGACATTTGTCAGGCCCTTCTCTACCAACCAAGTTTTCATGTCTTGGGGGCTAGTTCAAAATGCAGCAGCACCAAAGAACAGGAAAGTGAGAGATGGTGCCTCAGGCAGACCTGGGAGTAGACGTCAGTCCTCTGATGTAAGAGAGTCAAGTTTCTTCCATTTCGTTACTTTTTTATTTTTTTCAGAATGAATGTGGCAGTTCAGATGTCAGTGATGCTCATCAGCTTTGCTCGGTAGACCTTGGTAACCCCTTAAAAGCTACATCAGAAATGTAGAGAGATTTTGTGACTGATGCTGCTGCTTCAGATGCCACTTTTCAGTGGAGCCTCGTTCAAACAGGAGCACTGTTGCTTTGCTTTGTAAAGAACCCGACTGTTGCCAGCTCTTGGGGCCGGAATAGAAACCGAGACTGGTGATGCTCAGCATTGCAACACAAACACGTGCTTGACCAAATGGCAGCAGTGGGCATGTTCTCTTTTATGGGCTGGCTACCACAGGGATCTGCACGTCTCTGTCCCACCACCAGCCACGCACCTTGTGTCACAGCTGTTCTCGTGGGTGGGCTGTTTTATGCATTTGAAATCCATGGATTCAGCCCCCCTACCTTATTGGAGATAACCGTGCAAGTGTAAGAGAAATGTCTCCGTGGTTTTAGAATGCAAAGCATTGGGTTTAGAAGCTATTTGAATGCTGGATGTTTTTGTCTGCGTTTATGTATGCTTATGAAAATATTTGTATTTGGTTAGTGGAAGTTGTCCTTTGAAGAACAGAAGCTGATTCAGTCAGTTAAGCTTTCCAGAAAGTAAGCTTCAGATGTGAAAGTATAAATTTCGCATTTATAAAGGAGGAGCAGTGTTGTTGCTTTGCCAGTGAATCTTCCACCTCCGGATTGGCAGCTGAATGTTGCCTAGCTCCTGTCTGAGAAGCTGGCGTGTCTCAGGGCTAGGTTTCCTTTGAAAAATTACACCTGGGCTTTGTATGAGATTGGAAACTCTCAGGTTCAGGGACATTCAAGTACAGGTTTTGTTATTTTGTTTTTCTTTTTTTCTTTTTTTTTTTTTTTTTTTTCCCCCCCCCCCCACTGTGCCTGAACAGAATAGGAGAGCATTGGCTCTATTAAGAGCTTTTGTGTCAAGGCCCCAAAACACTTTGCTGTTTGAACTCCCAGGAGCTAGCAATATTAGTTGTTGTTTTCAACCAGTACACGTGCCATCAGAAAAGGAAATTTGGAAGAAGGATCAAATAATGTCTTTTGGCCATAACTATAGGGGAGTCGGCCTGATTCAGACTTGAGAGTTGGTATTGAAGAAGCACTAAACCCTGCAACTACTGGGAATGGAGCTGGAAATGGTAACGTGCTAAATGAATTGGAGATGTGACTGACATGTAGCATCAGTGCTTGGTGACAGTGGGATGGAGGATGGAGCGCTGCAGCTCAGCATCTGCAAATTCCATGGGAGCTGTTCACTGTAGCAATTCACTTACCTCAGATGCTGCCTCTTGGCTAATGTAGGCTGGTGAAAATTATAAAAATAGAAGTGATCCATAACAGAAAGTACTAATCCTAATGCTTAATCATAATCATATAAGAACTGAAATAATTTATCACCAGAAATATAAAACCTAAACCAACGGATTACGATGGGTTTGCAGAAGATGTAATCTGTTTAATGCTGATCTTTTATCTTTAATACTTTGCAAACTGGTTTTGAAACATTTTTTGCAAGGCATTTAGTTAACTTGTGAGAGATTGCTAAACAGGAAAGCTGCACTTAATGCAATACTGGCATGGGAGTTTACTAAAGGGGATGTTGACATAGATTAAATATTAAAAATAACTATTTCCTATTATTCTAGAAAAAAAACAAACCCTCACTTTGTGTTAAAAGTCCAAACGTTTTCTAATTTTAGGGAGTTACTTTTTTTGGTGTGACCATATAGTCCAAAGGAAGTTCATTATCTTTGTCACCGATGTTATATTTTGGTGTGGCAACTGATCTTTTGAGCAGGAATTTATTTTTCTTGGTAACAGCAGTATCAGGTAGCCTCAG